CTAAACTACACGATACAATGCTTCCTATCTATAATAAGATGTCGACATGACAAGAAGTTATGGCATTGCACTAAGTACATACAAATCAAACTATTGCACGATCTAGCCCAAAATGAACTTTTCCATGCCCTTGCTTCCACGCCTCTACCTCTAAATGAAAAGTTCTCTGAAGAGAGACGTTCAAACTACTGCCATGGGCTTAACAAAACAGCTAGAACCATCAATTTACAGTAAACAAGAAAAATAATACTCGCAATCTCATGTTAAACGAGATGTTTTTCTTAATTGTTAGTCAGCTATCGAACATTACCTTTATTCTAGCTCCGCGCCTAGGGTCAAGACTTATTTTTTCCCCGTAAAGGTATAAATTTAAATTTTGTAAGCACCTTGAATCAAACATTATATTTGATGCTGCCTAGTTAATTTAACCAATGGAGTAAATATGGTTTTCTTAACTGAAAGTCAGCTAAGAACAATCTATGATAAACCCCTGGACTTGTTCTTGTTTTTTGTAGATCCAAGAAATATTTTGTAAGCATTTTCAATAATTTTTGTCTAGTTTACTTGAACCAATTGGTAAAACTACTAGACCTTCACATGTGAACCGATCTCTTTTAAAAGTAGTACCAAGACTTTGCGCTACCTGCCCCTCACCTACTCTTCCAGCGTTTCGACGCCACAAGCATTTCCCCCGTTTCCCCGTAGTCCTTCCAAACCCGACCAAGAAAACAAGGCCATGGACAAGCAAGATGCCGGTGTAGCCGGCCGCGCCAAATACAAACTTCCAGGAGGCCCTTTGTCCCAAAGCGACGACGCCGAGAGCGACGGGCCAAACTATGCGAGAGAGATAACTCGATATTCCACCGCCCCAAAAGCAGAGACGAGCTCCTCCCTCCTAGAAAACGACGCCGTCCGGCCGCCGAGCAGCGCACGCGCAGGCACCCCCCGAGCCCGCGCCCCCGCCCCCGCCCCAGGAGACACACCACCTCAAAAGCTCGGACACGAGCTTCCTTCCCTCCCCATTAAGCCTCCTCCCCCGTCCCTCCGCCCCAATCTCAGCTCGCCCCTCACTGCCATCTTCACCAACGCCGCCGTGCTCCGGGCCATATCTCGCTCGCTCGCCGCTGATCCCCAGAAAGTAGAGCCCGGCCCCGGGAGGTCGTGGACGCCCCAGAGCGCGCGCCTGCTCCGTCCCGCGAGCTCTGCTCCGCCGTCGGTAAGGCATCCTCCTTGGACGGCGCCGCGGTTTACTGCTGATCGATGATAGTTTCCGTTTCGTTCTTCGATTTGAGTTTTATTTTGGTTTATGTAGATGCCGTTAAGGAGGTTCCTGGAGGTTCGGAGGTCAGAGGCGCCGTTGACGCCGACAAGGCAGCCGGTCTGTGTTCCGGCGCCGAGCTCGAATCGGCGGAGCCGGGTGTTTTGGATGCGAGATCAGAAGCTCCGGCGGCGCGAATCCACGAACAGAAGCTGGGTTGCGGGAGTACGGGTTCCGATGAAGCTGCCGCAATCAGCCATATCCCCTCACCGGTTGAGCCGTCGCCGTCAGACGCCAGTTCGAATTCAGACACCAACACCACCACTGGGGCCATCGGTGGTGCTTCTTCTCCCCCTGCGGACGGGCCCCTGTCCCCGTCCCTGGCAGAAGCAGCTGATTCTCGAGGACGCGAGCCAGAGGCAGCACACGAAGAGCCAACGGGCGCGTGTGGGGCGCCTGCGGTGGCCTCTAGCGAGCTCGGAGTCGAGTCCAGAGGGGATTCCGACGGTCAAAACGGCCTTATCCAAGGGGAATTGGAGTTGCGTGCCGGCGGCTTTTTGCGTGGCGAAGGGGCAGAGACGGAGCCTGAGGCTCTAGAGGCCTCCACGACGCAGGTTGAGGAAGGAGTGGACGGGATGGAGACGAGCTTGGATGACTCCGAGGCGTCGGACGGCTCGACCACGCAGGAGGACTCTGACACCGACGTGGAGACGGAGTCCAGCAGCTCCAGCGTAGAGGAACAGGACACGGGATATGGCGTCCACGTCCCACTCATGGTACGACTTCCGTGCAAACCTCTGAGCTGTGTGCTACTCATCCACGTTTATACGCTTACCGTCGGTACACCGATGATCCGATGATGTGTACTACTCTGTTAATCTGCCTTTTGATTTCTTCAAGTTAGCTCTTTTGGATTTTTTGACAACAGTCCATCTTACTCTGTGGAACATTAGACGGTAGGCGTAGCAATGCTTCCTTTTTGTGGTAGAAGAATCTGCTTTATGTGGTGCTCTGCTCTTCTGTTGATATTTGATTTGGTTTGGGCTATTTTGATATGCTCATTTATACTCCCTCCGTTCCAAAATAGATGACCCAACTTTATACTAGCTTTGTACTAAAGTTAGTACAACGTTGAGTCATCTATTTTGGAACGGAGGGAGTATATCCTAGTAATTGAGTAAGGAGTGGACCATGCTTGTGCGAATGGACAACCTGTTCAGCTAACTGAAGAAATTAGGCAGTGGGCGGCTAGGCGCAGGGTGGCAATGCTTCCTTTTTCTGTATACTGCATTATGTGTTGATATTTAGTTTCAGTTTCTGGCTACTTACTATTTGGCTATGCTCATTTATATCCTAGTAATGGAGCAAGGGACCACGCTTGTACAGTTGTACTAAAAGGGCCTTCTGTTGAGCTAACTGAGGAAATTAGGTCCTACTGCATGAAAAGGATGCACCCCTGTTTGCATAAATTATCAGCACATGGATTGTTCAAGGCAAATTAGCATTGACTTTGTCCAATACTGCAGCCTTGTCTGTAAACCTTAGCTTGTGCTGTTATATGAAGATTAGGCGATGATGTGTACCTGTGTTTTCCCCCCTTTGTAGGAACAAGTGACCTGTGCGGTGGCCAGGGAGAACAACGCTTCGGAGACGAAGAGTTCTGATAGGTACTATTATTTTGCTTTATATCTTGTATACGCACCATAAGCTGAGTATAGCTTGATCTGTTTGGCACACATGCATAGGGTTATTCAAGATGTCCCTTGTTTTTTTTTCCTTTAGCCTTTCTAACCCTTGAAGCCTGAGAAGATGGTTTATTCGTGTTTTGACATGCTTAATTCATATACAGGATGGATTCAGTAGCTGTATCAACACTTGTGCTGGCTTCAGGTGCAGCCATGTTACCTCATCCTTCAAAGGTAATGGACCTAATAGTTGTTCTTTTCAGTCTGTTGTAGGTAATGTATATTTGGACTAAACTTATTCTACCCAGTAGATCAGTGGAAATACTGTCATGTTCGTTCTGCTCTCAATGTTCTGGAAGTTGCTGTTTAAGGCATTGTCAAATACTCCCTCTGTTCCTAAATATAGGTCTTTCTAGAGATTTCAACAAGTGACTACATACGGAGCAAAATGAGTGAATCTACACTCTAAAATATGTCTATATACATCCGTATATGGTAGTCCATTTGAAATCTCTAAAAAGACTTATATTTAGGAACGGAGGAAGTAGTTAAATGTAAAGAACGGAGGCACTTGTTACATAGATCCTTCTATGCTCATAATTTGAGATTAAATTGAGCTCAGCATTACTCAATTAACTCACGTTTGGTGTAAGCAACTCTTTGTTAAGATTTCAGCATCTAGACTCATATATTTGCTTTTCTTGACTTCATATTTGTGTGCTTCCAAATGTTAAAACGTATATGCCATCTATAGTTCCTAGAAGGCCTACAACAAACAACTCTAGGTTGCTGTCAGACATATATACAGTTGTAACTGCATCTACTGGTTCCTTCATGCAGATACTATACACGGAGGAATATTTACTCTCCATGTGCTTTTATTCTGTTATATTATGTGCTAAAATAAAATGCATGCAATCAATTCATGTTGCTCTTAATTTCTCTAATGTTGATATCTGTTAAAAATACAGGTGCACACAGGTGGTGAAGATGCTTATTTCATAGCTTGCGGCGGCTGGTTTGGTGTAGCAGATGGAGTTGGTCAGTGGTCATTTGAAGGTAAACCATACCTCATCAGCTAAATTTCGGTTGCTTTATCTTGCGAGTGCGTTTAATTCCTGGGTGTACAAAAAGAAACTCCTGGGTGTACAAATTTCCCTTTCAGAAAGTGTGTTCACTCTTTGAAAGTGTTTGTTAGCTAGCAGTTAACATCAGTATGTTTTAGATGTCAGTAGCTAATTTATTTGCCATGATTACCTTCAATTATACCGTACAAAATATGGGTTTATGTTCTCATCATACTCTTGTTATGCTTTTGCACTCAGGAATCAATGCGGGGTTGTATGCGAGAGAGTTAATGGATAGTTCCAAAAAAATTGTTACGGAGAATCAAGGGGCACCAGGGATGAGAACCGAGGAAGTTCTTGCTATGGCGACAGTTGAAGCACGGTCCCCTGGCTCTTCAACTATCTTGGTTGCTCACTTTGATGGGCAGGTATGATCTTTTGTCAATTTTTTTGTGTGAATTCTTTCATCAAGAGGCATGCATACCACTTGCTGTAACATTTCTTGGTGGTTAATTGTACATGTTTTTTTTTTCTCATCAACTGACTGATATGGCAGGTCCTTCATGTATCTAATATTGGCGATTCCGGGTTACTGGTGATAAGAAATGGACAAGTATATACACAAACAAAGCCGATGACATACGGTTTCAATTTCCCGTTGCAAATTGAAAATGGCGTCGATCCTTCAAGACTTGTACAGGTGACACAGCGCTTGTTGTCGCCACTATCCTGTTATTAGTTTCTTCTTTTGAGCTTTCTCAGATTTTAACATATGAATTTCTCTCTTTATTCTCAGAATTACGCTATCGATCTACAAGAAGGTGATACCATCATAACAGCGTCAGATGGTCTGTTCGACAACGTCTACGACCATGAGGTGGCAGACATTGTCTCAAAATCTCTAGAAGCCGACCGCAAGCCTACGGTCCGAACCTAATCACTTTTCTTGTTTGAAAAAAGAAAAACCTAATAAACCAACCTACAGAAAATATGAAACCAAGAATCATCCTGACATGTTCATTTTGCATAACTTGTGCAGGAGATTGCCGACCTCCTGGCTGCTAGAGCAAAGGAAGTGGGCAGGTCCGGGTCCGGGAGGAGCCCGTTCTCGGATGCGGCGCTCGCAGAAGGGTACCTGGGTTACTCCGGGGGCAAGTTGGATGATGTAACAGTTGTCGTGTCCATTGTTCGGAAATCTGAACTATAGACTGTTGATAAGTTGTATTTCTATATCTAATGGCCATGGCCGCAGCAAGTTGCGAGCCGTATTCGGGTGGAGTTCAAATGCTTGCATCTTGAGCTGAAGAATGACCCAATTGCTTAGCTTCCATGCATAATCATATCCAGGATGTGCGGAACTCGGAGGTGCCATCTCCCCATCTACATGACATGATAGCTTAAGCAAAGAATAGAGAGAGCTAAGCTAGAATATAAACAAAAAAGATATCTTCTCTCTCTTCTGAATGAGAGCACAATGAATACAAAGATTAGAGCACGCTGTGACACTTATCAAAATCTCACCCTCGTTTCTGGCCTCTGAAAATGAGCGTATCCGATCACCCGTTTCTGTTTTTCTTTCCTTTTTTTTAAACAGAGGCAAAAACCCGTATCTGTTCTGAATGAGCTGCTCGCCGTGACACTTCTCACAATCTCACCCCGTTTCTGGCCGCTTGGTCTGATGCCAGCAGTTGGCAAAACCAAAAGCAGGCTACTTTTCTAGAGACTGGCAAGAAAATTCGGTAGCCAAATTTTTAGAGTGCCAACACGTTGGCATGCCAAAAATTGGCATCGAACCAAGCAGTCTCATTGTGTATGGAAACGAGTCATATATATGAATGTGACATCTGTATAAATGGAATGGAAACTCTCAGATAAGATACATCTCGGTACATGCAGCAAAGCCAGCAACAAGGCTGGGTCTGCTTTCTCAGCTGTGTCGGGCGGGTATAGCGAAAATGGTCACATGAACGACGAACAGGTTTGCTGAATTACAGGCGCGCCCAGCTGCTCACACGAGCAGGGTCATCACAACGACAGTCGCTGCGGCTAGGAGGACGTCTGCTGAAGACGGGAAGGTGGCCACGGCGGAGGCCGACGGCGATGGAGCTCGAGCGGTGGTGGAGTCGCCGCTTCCGGTTCCGGCTGCGGCTGGTGATTCAGCCGAAGGCGTGGATGGTGACGGCGAGCCCCCGAAGAACGGAGCACCGGAAGACGGGGCAGGTGCAGGTGCTGGAATGACGGCAACAACGTCAGTAGAGTATTAAAAGAGTTGCGATTTTTTTTACTCCAAAAAAAGAAAGGATTACATATGTTGGTACTTTGCTGAGATATGGTCGAATGATATATGCGGAATCAGAAGGGAAGAGAAAGAGTGGTTAGTGAACACACCTGGAGACCCACCGGTCACGCCCGGAATGGAAACTGCATTAGCGAAGAGGGAGATCGTCAGAATATAGTTCCGTCAGTTTTTTCTCAGTTCATAATTCCGTCAGGTTCAGTATTTAGCGATGGTTTTGCTAGGTCTCACTCGACTAAGATTTTCAGATTTTTCTTAAGTCTCAACTGATTCTGAAAAATGAAACTTCAGCTCAACAAAATATGAAATTTGCACTTTTCTAGAAAAAGTAGTAGTACTATAACCGACTGAAAAAGTGCAAGCTTACACTTTTCATCACTAAATTAAAACTGCAATTCACACACGCACAGACCCAACAACAACTACGGCAGCAATTGTTTCACAGAAGTTGTAAGAGAAAAATGGGAGTGACTATCGCTCAACCCGATATATGAACTTTCCGTCTTCAGTCAGCTATTGATAGGCGTCGTTTTTTTGCATTTGCGAGTGATGGAAAAACACGAAGAAGAAAAAAGAACACTTACTGTGGCACTTGCTGAAGGGAGGCGTCTTGACCTTGCAGGCGCCGGGCAGCTGCAGGGCCTTGGTCATGTTGAGGGTGACGCCGTAGTCCTGGCCGCCCTGGAAGGCCTGGCAGAGGCAGGCCACCTCCTTCTTCACCACGTCCTTGAGCCCGGAGCAGCAGGTCGCCTCCGGCATCGCCACCGTGCTCCCCTCCTGCACGTAGCTCAGGCACCCCGCCAGGCTGATCAGGGCGTCGCTGCAGTCCACGGCCGGCGCCGGCGCGGCCACGGTCGCACCGTCGACGTGAGCCACCACCGCGGCCAGCGCGAGTAGAAGCAGCAGCGACGTCCTAGCTGCCATTCTCGCCGGCTGCCGCTGTAACTTGTGTGCACGCTGCACCAGAGCTATCTACAACAGTGGTTTCAGAGCGTGTGATATGGTCCGTGGAATGCGGTGTGAGATTGCTAGGGGGTGGGGTGCGTGGAGGGCGTTTTTATGTTTGCGACGGGCTGCCAGCGCCGCATGCACCACTGCATCAGTGGGAAGTTTGGTTAGTGTTGCACTGTGCTGGCAGTGGCACTGGCAAGAGACAGAAATGGAACTCATTGCTCCTCCTCATCCTAGGTCAAAGAAAATGGCGGCATATAGAGCAGCGATTCTCCCACCGAGACACTGACATCTGCGCACGCTGCGAAGTGCTTGGGAAATCATGGGGTCTGTAGGCCTGGGATCGGTGTGTTGATGCGCCCTTCTGGTCCCAGCCACTAGTGAAAAGGGCGGCTTGGCATGGCATTCCTTTTCCGAAGCGGCGGTGTGCCGACATGATGAAGTTCGAATGGTGGCAGTGGCCTGTGGCTGTGGGGGTGAGCCAAAAGAAGGTCGCCGCCGTCGCCGTGGTCGGCCGGTGACCATGATCAAAGGGCCGGGAGCCTTTAGGATAGCTTTTTTCTAGGGAAAGCCTTATAGGTAGCTGGGTGGGCGGTTGCACGGGAGAAAATAAAAGAAACCGAGCGCACGATGGCACGGGGGAGTGGAATCGAGGCTTTCCGGGAGCTGGGACCGAGCAATGTTATTACCAACGCCGGTATGAACACCAAACCTCCTTTTTCTAGGTCTGAATGCAATGCCACGATGTACTCTATGGCCTAATGGCTGCTTATGTCGCCGCGTCGAATTGCTCACGTCATGTCCAAGCAACAGCGCTAGCCGCTAACATGTTCGATCGACTGCAAGCTGTGGTATGCGATTGGGTGTGGCTAGGTCTTAGTCGGCTGAGATTTAGCAAAGTCTCAGTCAAGTGACATAACATTCAAGAGAAAAAAAGAAAAAAAACTGAAAAGAAAATTTGCACGAATCTCACGGATATAACATCAACTGAGACTTAGCAAGACTGTATGCGACTACAAAACACTGAAGACGAGGAAGCACAACAAATAACGAATGATTGTGAACGGGGCGTTCACTTTTCTTCTATAGATAGATAGAGTCGAGTCTAACGTACAATCGGAGTAAAAATTTCTAGTGGTTCGATCCTAACAAAAAGTACCTACCAGTACTTCAATTGGTATCTCGTGATAAGGCTAACTACAAACTGAATCCACTTGGCTATAATAGAAGGCTAACTACAAAGCCAATCCGCTAAGCCAACTTGAAACCAGAAGGGCCTAAAATAGCGCTGCAACGGCAAGCACCGCGCCAACGACCATGGCTCCCATGGGAGCGAAGGTATTAGCGGCAGAAGCAGCCGGCGGGGCGGTCGGAGAGGTCGCCGGCGTTGACGCAGGAGACGGAGAGCTGATGGCGTCGGGCAGGGACGGAGCCAGAAAATTGAGATGGGGGGGGGCAAGAACCAAAAGCTTCAAAATCATAGGATATATTTGCCGTAAAAGAATCATAGGATATATTAAAATATACCATAGTAATTAGTAAATAATAGGATTTAGGACATCTAGATAGTAAAAATATGTCTGTTGTTCAATAGTATGAATAAATTACATTTCTATCAATTTGAATTCTGCTTTACGAGCACCAGTATCGAAGATATCAATTATTTCTTCAGAGCTAAACTTGGCTGCAAGTTCCTTCTCAATGTAAACTAGCGTGCAATGACAAAGAAAATCATCTCCCATTTTGCTTCGAAGCCGCGTCTTGACTAGTTTCATTGCAGAAAAGGCTCGCTCTGCTGTTGCAGTTGAAACCGGAAGAGTTATCACCAATCGTAACAGCCTCTCAACCATTGGATAGTCAGAAGACTTGCCAGTCTTAACTATCCCTTTTGTTAGATCAGCAAGTGATTTGCAGTTCTTGATCTCTGGATGGTTGAATGTATCAAGCTGGAAATGTGGTAGCTCGCACTCCAACCGATCTCTTTCTTGACTAGAAAAATCTGCAGGATAGAATTTCTCCACTAGTCTGCATATCTTTGACTTGCTGAAGGCATCATGCCTCGGGTCCAATGATGAACAAAGATCTAGAAGCTCAGTAACATGAGAACTAAATCGATCATTCAACTCTATCACTTGTTGATCTATTGCAACATTAAACACATCTACTTTGTAATGATGGATAACTGTGGTGTTGTCATGTTTATTTCGAGATTTCGTCACATCAACATACCTAAAATTAATATATATTGAAAAATAAGAATTAGTTGCATGATCATTGATGAGAAGTATGTAAGTGGCTAAATCTCTACATTGTAATTTATATAATCATAAAGAGATAGGAAAAGATACGTACTTTTGATCCATGTCCGGGATGTCAATCTCATGTTTCACACAAAAGGATTTCACATCTTCAAAAAGGTTGTCCCATCCATCTTCTCTTAGTTCACCAAGCAACACCTTTGTGTTAGAAACACAATCTAATGCATTTGCAATGTCCAAAGATTTATGTTGAAGTTTGAGACACAAGACATCTGTGATTTTCATGATTCTTTCCATTAAGTGTAGAATGAACACAAAATCAAATGTCAGTAGGATTTTCAAGGCACCTCCGGCATCACCTCTTGAGTTCCTTGTAGCTTCAACGATCAGCTGCTACACTTCTTAGCACTGTAACAGTTGCGGCAAACATCTTTAACAAACTTTTGATAGATTTGTAGTGGGAACTCCATCTCGTGTCTCCGGCCCTTTGTAAAGAACCTATTTGATTGGCCCCTCTTCCTGTGTCAAGCTCTCCCAATTCAATCTCACTAGCAATTTCAGCAGCCTGATTTTCTAACAGTTCATCATTCCGTTTGGGAGATGCACTAACTGTATTTACAATGAAATTTGCATGCTGAAAAAAATTATGGACCTCATGTACCTCCCTTGAAGCAGCAACAAGAGCCAATTGGAGTTGATGTG